AAAAAGATGTTCTCACCATCGAACCCAACCATTATGGAATACCTTCTTTGTGTGGGACAAACAATAATAACCATGGTAAGTAAGCAAAACTTACTAATATATCAAACAAGCCTCGACCTTCAGACGGTAGATGGTGCTGATAACTTTTGTTCACTGTGCTACCGCTGTCGTTTATCCTGCTGTCTATAAAGCGACCGATGGTTGGTTCCACACCTCAAAGTCCCACCACGTGACCACGTACGGAACGCAGTCCTTTGAAAATTTGGAATTTAAGGCTTTTCAGGTTATGATCTGTCAAAGTATAGTCAATGAAAGAAATAATATTTATAGTGTTACCGCTTATGTTTAAGCGTTAAAAGTTAATAAATCTTTATAGTATCACAATAACAATGGTTGGTTTAAGAATTTAGGAATATAAATACTGCATTTAATGAAATTCCAAAGTGTAAGGTGCAATATAAGTGATATTTTTGTGCATTGGGTCTAGATTTCTCCATAAAATAGTTTTAACTAAACAGCATTTATTAAAAAAAATCTAACTTCTCTATTATGAAATAATAATATCTGTATCAAAGGTAGGTTAATGTATTAGAACAAAAAATATCATCTAATTTTGTATTTTAAGGTTAGACAAATCTATTTTGACCAAAATAAATAAGTGGATTATTTGAAAGAGTGTGTTAATATAGTCATAAATAAATAAAGGTATACTAAATAATTATCGAATATAGTTCAAATTAAATTGAAGCTTTTATACTTCTAACGAGAAAACTTGTGCATACCTCTCGGCATACTTACTTTAAGTTAGATTATAAGAAAACAAACAATTTTTAGAGAAACATGCAATTTAAAAATATTTAATACTCCCATGACATGTGATTTATTAAATTTTTTAAAGTTATAATGATTTTTTGATGTAGATCAAATTCAGTCGAAGTTTTTTAACTATTTGTATTGACAAAACTTTATGTAGGTACACTTTAAGCTGGATAAGAAAAACTACCACATTTTTAAATACCATATTATACAGTCTTTTAAATAATCCAAAATACTTATTTATTTTGGTCAAAATAAATTTTTCTAACCTATTTTTGTTATAATATATTAACCCACCTTTAATATAGATATTCTTATTCCATAATAGACAAGCTAGATTTTTTTAAATAAATGCTGTTTAGTTAAAATTATTTTATAGAGAAAACCAGATATTTGGACCAAATGCACAAAAATATTACTTATTTGGCACCATACATTTTAGAATTTCATTAAATGCAGTATTTATATTCTTAAATTCTTAAACCATGGTTTAAGAATTTAAGAATATAAATACTGCATCCATTGTTATTCTAATGTTATAAAGATTTATACATTTTTAACGCCTAAACATAATATTATTTCTTTCGTTGACTATACTTTGACAGATACATAACCTGAAAAGCCTTAAATTTTCCAAAGACTGCGTTCCGTACGTGGTCACGTGGTGGGACTTTGAGGTTTGAAGCATAGAACGTGTTCCACTTTATGAGATTTCAATATTTATTTTTGATGAAGAAATCTTCTGCAAAAGATCTGTTTGCTCAATCTCAAAAGTTAATAATTGGTATTTTGCTTTTGTGCTTCATAAATAAAAAAAAACAAAATAACTTTTTTTTTGCACAGTGTACATTCATTTGGTGCCAGGTGATGAAAAGATAACCTTATCCTTAAAGCTAACCAAACGAAATGATGGTGCTACCACGGAGCTACCCCATTGGGTGATTAAAGTCACCCAGCTACAATGTGGTGGACACAAGACGGATTACGATACTTCCGTCTCGGATTTCAGATTATTAGGTAAAAATACAAGGTGTGTTCAGAAAATATAGGGAATTTTCGTTTTTTGAAACAAATATTTATTTATTCACCTACATTAATGTTTTCGCCTTCAAAATAGTCCCCATTGGATGTTATGCACATGTGCCAGCTCTTCTTCCAATACTCGAAACACTTCTAAAACTCGATCTTTGGGATAGCCTTTAGTTCTTTCAGCGATGCGCTTTTAATGTCATCTATGCTTGCAAAACGACGGCCCTTTAAGGTTCTCTTTATTTTTGGGAAAAGTCAGACAGAGGCATGTCTGGCGAATATGGAGGATGGGGCATCATTACAGTATTGTTTTTGGCCAAAAATTTTGTTCAAAATTTAACAATTTTAGAACAAATTTTGCTGCCACGCGTTTCATACCCAAAATATTCGAAAAAATTTCATGGGATGAGCCAATCGATATACCAACATCATCAGCGACTTCTCTGATGGTTTATAACCATTTCTTCCACTTTTTCCATGTTTTTATCGGTTGTTAATGTGCTTGTGCGTTCGGGGCGTTCGTCATCTTCAACGTCTTCACGGCCATCTTGGAAACTCTTATACCACTTGTAAACTCTTGTTTTACTTATAGAAGACTCACTATAGGCCTTTGTTAACATTTCACAGAATTTATTTAATTTTTTAAGCAAAATTGGATACAAATTCTTTGATCCATTTCTTTTAACGAACGAAAAATCGCCGAGCTCATAAAACACGTCTAACCTTAGCGGCTGCCACAGACAAAGTAAACAATGAAAACAGCTAAAGTTTTTATCATACTTCGGGGGCATGTATACCAACATAATAAAGAAAATTTTATGATCTGGACCCTCTGAACCCGCGAAATTTAACAATTCCCGTTATTTTCTGAACACACCTCGTAGACACTACTTCATCCAATATTTTCATTTTATAACCTTGTTGTGATCTCAGCACCACGAGGGGCGATCCAATATTACACTGAACCATCCGGAGTAATAAAGTCTTTCGGGTACGATAGATCATATACTTCTGGAGAAGCGTATGCGATTGCTATCAAAAAGGATCCTGGATATTGCGGAGCTCAGTAAGAGTTTCTTGAATATTAAATTAATATTTTTTATTTAATATTTATTTATTTATTTTAGATTTATACCGAGCGACGTGAATATGGCAAACAAAGTAACGCCTCCATTAAAAGATGATGACTGCATAGATTATCTTAATATTTTGGGGCTTTCTGTAAATGATTCCGATGTATCGTACAACACCATAGCTAAAACGTGCGCATCTCTTATAACAACTACCTTGAAATGTAAGTCAATAATAGGAGATTCCTTGATATACAGGGTGAGTCCCTGATAGCAAAATTTGATTCTAAGAATCTTCTAAGAAGATATGACTCGGAATAATGGAATATTCTTAGAACCTTCCCTTATTGCTAAAAATGTTCTTAGGGACTTTTAAAACATTCAATAGATACCCTTAATGATGCAATTAGATTCTTAGAAGCTTCTTAAAACCTTCCTAAAAGGCTAAGAACATTTTAAGAATACGTTTTTGGAATGTTCTTAGAAGGTTTCTTATGGAGCTTCTAGGAAGCTTTTGAGAATATTTCCAAATATGTTGGATTCTACATTCGTAAAATTCTTTAGGAGGCGACAAATACGCCTCACTGTCATAATGACAGTGAAATGTATTTGTCGTCCCCTTAAAAAAATTTGCGACATATTAATATATATTTATTTAAAAATATTAAATAAACAATTTGAACTCCATAAGTTGTATGACATTATTTCATAAAAAGTAAAATTGGAAAATTTTGTGGGATAAGTCAGATTAGATTGAAGGTGAAGATAGTTAGGATTATTATACATAAAAATGTTAATTCAGAAATAAAAAATCGGCATACAAATTAATAAATATTTATTTTTAACATAAAATAAAATATAAAAAAACAAAATATTTCCTTGTAAAATAATTCTTCATAAAAAAAACTAATAGTTATTCATAAAAAAAAAAACATTTTTCATTGTATTAGAAGATTTTATGTAAAAGCCGGATAATTTAGATACCTATAGTAAAAGTATTTTTGTTATCGAATATGGTTTTAATTTGACAAATAACTATAAAAAAATATTTTGGGTTGTGTTTTTTACTTAGTATACTATTTAATACTAAGTATAGGAAGATTATGGTATATTTTACTATATAGGTACCTAACTGAACTGAATATGCTTAACAGAATGTTCCAGGAATATTCCTAAATGAACTTTCTATAGCAATTACTTTCTCAATATTCTAAGCATATGTATAGAGTGGATTAATTTTTACCAGTAAACTTTGCATCTTCTAAGAACCTACCTATAGGCCAGTGAGAATATTCTTAGGATTATGCTATATTTCTTTTAAGCATGTTCTTTCGAAGAAATATAACATGATCCTAAGAATATTCTCACTGGAAGGTTTAAGAAACATTCTTAGAACATGACTAGAAGAAATATAGCATGATCCTAAGAATATTCCCACTGGAAGGTTTAAAAAACATTCTTAGAATAAACTGTGCTATCAGGGGTCTTTTAACTTGAAATTTCTCTTCTTTTAATTTATTAGCCCCCTCGAATCATTTAATTTTTAATTTAAACATTTTTTTTGTAAAATTCCTATTTACTGAGATATTTTAAAGTTTCAAGTTAAAAGACTCATCCTGTATATTGTTCTATGTTTGGTGTTTTTTACATTAACAAAAAATAATTAAAATAAAACATTTCAAAATTTTTATATTTTGGTACATTTTTTTTAAATTTATTTTAATATTTTAGCTGTTACTCCGGGTCAACTTTACTTCACCTTTAGTTCAACTACACCAACAACTGCCAATGTGGCTTCAGCAACAGTATTTCCATTTTTCTACAAATACCAATACAAATTAATAACGTCATGTTAGGTTATAGTGTAAAATTGTTTTAGTATGTATTAATCTTTTTTTTAATAAATTATTGACTGTAATTAATTAGCAAATATTGTATGTCACATGGTGTTATATTTCTAACAAAACATATTTACTAATCCATACCGTTATTTAAATTGAACAGCGGTTGTTTATATATGAAAATTTCCTATATAAGCATGGGTGAAAAATGAATATTTTCATTTAGAAGTTAAAACAGTTCAGAATGATACTAAACGTAGTGGTATTATTGACAGTTATTAAAAGTGGTTTTTGTGTTTTGCTTGAGGATATTTATGATCCTTTTACACTGTTTTGGTGGTCCAATGGTAAAATTTTATCTACATATAATTTTAATTAAAAGTTAACATTTAATGGAGTATATATTTTAAGGGCCTTACAATGTAAACACTAGGTGCTTAATACCATCCAATAATGGCGATATAGTAGGGGAGTGCACCACTACAGCAAAATGTTTCTTGTATGGAGGAACTGTATCTGGTGGATGTGGAATAGGAAGAAGTTGCTGCAGATGTAAGTAATGTTTTTATAAGACGATTTACACAAAATATAACTGTGTAGAAACCAAACTTGCCACCTAGGTGTTTTAAAAATATTCCATATATTTTAGACGCTCAGGAAAACAAACAGTGCAAGGTTAAAACAAATCATGGAATCGAAGTAACTGGTACATGTTTGGGGGAGGGAGATTGCCAAAGATCTGGTGGGGCATCCCATGGAAAATGTGGTGGATTATTTCAAAAATGCTGCGTTTGTAAGTGAAATTTTTTTTTAAGTCTCTCGCCTGGTGACTCGTGAATAATAGCCTGCATTATCTCTCGTATAATAATATACTATTTTCATTAGTTATTACCAAAGCTATAATAAATTATACAATTTTAGATGACAATACTTGTGGTAAAATAACAACAGCAAAGGTTTCGTATTTTGATGGAAACTATTTGCAAACGCAGGATCAAACCACTTCTTGCACATATACAATTTTTTTGAATAATCCCAACATATGCCAAGTCAGGTAATTACACATTTCTATAAAATACCTATTTAATTGTTTAAAAATGATCATAATTTTCAGATTGGATTTTGAAACCTTTCACTTAGCACCTCCTGAAACTAGCGCAAGTCTTGGCACTAAATGTGTTACGGATACTTTTAATGTGGAACCAAGTAACTATGGAATTCCTACACTATGTGGAACTAATGATAATCAGCATGGTAAGTCTATACCTATGTAAATAAATTTTTTATATCATTTTTTGAGTAATATATCAAAATGTGATTAATTAATCCATGAACGTGCTGTGCTGTTCTTGTAGAGTCATCATCATAATTCACAATTTACAACCAACAATTTTTTAGAGTAATTTCAGTGCATTGAACCCATAACAATTTTTTTATTTGTAGTATACGTTCATCTTCAACCTGGCGACGAGAAGGTAACATTAAACATGAAATTAAGTAGAAGAACTTTAGACAATACACTAATAGGACCCCATTGGAGGATAAAAGCTACTCAGTTGCAATGTTCCGGGGACAAGAAAAAGGACGACTCGTCTCAATTTGATTATCCTTTATTGGGTAAAATCTATTGCAACCTATTGTTTTATACTGATAACGAATGAAAATTATTTTAGCTCCACGTGGAACCATTCAATATTATACTGACACCATTGGAACAATCAAGTCATTTGGATACGGGCATTCTTATACGACTGGGGAGCATTATTCCATTGCAATTAAAAAGGATCCTGGATACTGCCTTGCAAAGTAAATATACAGGAACCCCTAAATGCAATATATAGTTTATAGTTTATAACCTTAATTAATTTTATTTTTAGATTTTCGTTCATTACTGTAAATATGTTACAAGACGAAGCTGGCACGGGTGATAAGCAATGCATTGATTATTTAAATGTTCCCGATTTTTTCTCTAAAACACTAGTAGATAATGCTGCCAAGGTTTGTACGCAGGATGATTTCTATTGTAAGTACACTATTGTATTTATAATAAGTGTTTATATTTTTGAATGCCTTTTCCTTTAGCTTTGGTTCCTGGACCTCTATCCCTGACGTTTTCTTCAGCATCAGTGGCTCAAGCGAATACAGAGAACGTTGAAGCTGAAGTTTACAATTTTAAGTTGAAGTACGAATTACAAGGAACGTGTGATGAAGCTAAATTGTAGGGTCGAATATTTATTTTATTTATTGTAAATTATTATTAAATAGTTAATTAAGGCTTTGTGGATAGTAAATAAAAAATGTTGAGTTATTACCAGGATTTTTACTGATTTGCATGACTTCCGCACTAATAAAGCAACAGTCCTCTAAATTTTGTAGTCTGTTGATGTAATGTATAAGAAATAATCGAGAGGGATAAGATCTGAAGATATCACTGGCCAGAGTTTTGCAAAAATTCCAAATACGTTGTTCTGTCAAAGAAAAAAGGATCTATGATCCGATTTTGGAAATTTGCATCTACTACCCAATGAGGATTTTCTCAACAAAATCGGACAGAGACGTTTAGAAATACACCAAAAAGGGACAGGTTCTAGCAGCGTACTACACCTCTACCCCCATTCATGAATCCCAATAGAATGGGGTTATTACTAAGACCCAGGTTGAGGAGGATTCCGGATTGTACTTAGTTTTGGGTCAGTTCAATGTCCTCCAAAAACCCTTCCTAAATTGGGCGTATGGCCCGACCCGGCTGACAAAAATCCGTGGAGCTGCCTTAACCTTTGACACTGTCATCCACGACCTCCTAGGGTGGATCTACCAGCCGGCGTAAAAACTTCGGATCCAACAAACACATGTAATGCTGTGATTTGGCGGGATACGCAGGAGAACGGAAAGGGGGTAAAGGGGAGATAATATAATTTTTCAATAAATTTGCTCCATACTTCTGCAGATCACTGTATATGACTATAGGATGACGGACCTTTAATAAAAAAACGTTGGATGTAATAAACGTATTGATGGAACATATTCGAAAACAAAACCAAAGTAGGTAGAGCGTTGTAGTTACCCAAAACGGGACATGCGACCAAATAAATCATAAAGTTATTATGTCTTTAATTGGAATTTATACCTGTAGGGAGAGAGCTAACATAGCGTTGTTAATTTTACATCGTTTGTTTACCGGGGCGGCGGTGTTCGCCCCCCCCTCCGACCGTCCCCCCATCCGGACTCCAGATAGAGCGAAAGGGGGATAAAAACATCTTACTGCACCGAACTAATATCGGAGAGCAAGCAATCTAAGGCGGCTGGTCACATTTGTTTTTGTTATATGCTTACATAGCCATCCAATACCTCGGAATATATTCCGGACGATCGATACGTTTGCACACGACCACCAGGACGATGTTTTGCACGTGTTATGTTTGTGTATTAGTTTTAGAACGGCTGTTTTTGCCACTGTCTTTTCATTTGATAGTAGTACTCCCGCGTGGAGGATACGTCCTGCATTTTAATTAAAATTTGCATGTTAATATTTATCGAGTTTGGTTAAAATTCCAAAACACATTTTACACCTTTATTGTTCAATGGTAATGGTAAGGCCTTTTGCACTTGATATCTTGGACTGTTGATCCCTTTTCCTCAGCCACCAACTGACACATTTGACAGAGAGCATTGGATTTCCTTAATCATGAAACAGTGGAATTATCATTGTCTTGGAGAACTGTACCATAATCGTGGGGAAACTATACATTGCCTCGTTTAAAACTTTCCACAGGCTCGGACTAAAAATTAATTTATTAAACAAGATTAAAAATAAAATCTAGTAAAATGATAGATGGCAAAAAAATTACTGGGAAAACTAAAGAAGTATTATACTTACAGAAACGCTTTTACCATCTATCATTTTTACTGAATATTTGGAAATAAAAACATTTGAATTGTATATATAGGGTAATCAATCCTACTAAGTTACACAAAGAAAAATTTGTTTGATTTGGTTTAATAATTTTAATTTCCTATATATGGGTGATTCTACAAAAGTTGGGCAACTTTTGACCTCATTTTGTTTATATAGTTTTCGGAGAAAATTAAACAGTATTTTGTTATGAGAACATAATATTATCATATTATAATAAATATACTGTTCCAGACCGGGTCACTTTTTTTGTATTTTTTTGTATAATTATATACATAATTTATTGGAAAATATAAGATTTTTTGCAACTTTGAGCATATTATGCATTAAATATCTTAAAATCAAATAATACCACACATCAGTGGCGGCTGGTGGATTTTGGGTATACCGATATCTCAATTATTTATTATTTATATGAGTTTATAATGACATTAAATAAACAAGTTCTGCACAAGCAGAATTTAAATTGAAGTTTGCAAAAAAAGTTAACCGAAACATCGAACATGGAACTGACGACACGGTACTGATTAATGGGATACAAATTTGAGATTATAATTCGAAATTAAGTATTTTACTGATTTTTTTATTAGTGAATGCTACTTATCAACAAATCACATATAGCCTGTCGACTGTCGTGCAAAGGGCGGGCTCTGTAGGTAATTTTTTACCAACACTTGAGTTAAAACGAGGACTTGACGTTTAAACTTCGCAGGAATTTTGAATTTTAACATTGGACACAGAACTGACGGGTAAAAGTGAGTACAAAGATTATATATTTTTAAAAAATTGCTATTATTCGAATCTATGATAAAATATGAAAAATACATTATTTAATGTTTTATAGTTTGTAGTGAAATTAATTAAAATTAAAAATTGGGTGGACAAGTTAAAAAAACCTGGATCTTTTGTAAAATACTAAAATATTTACAAAAAATATTAAAATACCTACTCTATTGACTGATGACATCAAGTTGTCCAACTTTTGTAGAATCACCTATATATAGAAACTTTTTAGTTCAGATAATGCCGCTTGAGAATGAGGGCGCTTTACTGTTATCAACTAAAAAGCACTGTTGCCAGAGTGTGCCAATGCAAATTTGCAAACAAAATGATAGCAAAAAGTATAGAATTTGAGTTTTTTTAAATACCTATAAGTAATACATTAGTAAAACCAGAGACTTAGAGAGATGGAATGCGCCTTGGGCCGGTTTTTCAATCGTTGGTTAAGTTTATCTTACGGTTAACTTTCTTAGATACTATTGTGTTAACAATAGTATCTAAGGAAATTAACCAACAATTTTGCTTCTCTTGTCAATTAAAAAAAAACAGAACAGAATTTTTTTTAAACTTGCAAGTCCATGGACTCTTACTAATTAAATTTAATAGGTACATATCTTATAACAAATACCATTCGATATTATGTTCAAGTTTCCGTTAAAATATCCGTCAGCCGTAAGAGTATCTTTAGATACCTATATATTCAGCGACTTAAACAAAAAATATATATGGAAAATAGAATATCTAAACTTAATATAAACTGAAACTGACAACCTAAAATAAACATAACAAAACATAAACTACAAACTGAAAAATAAAATTCGTATAGCTTATTAGAAAAACCAATCCAAATATCTTGGATCTCAGTGTAATATAATGTAGATTTCCAAAAATGAAACAAATAAGCAACGATAATTTAAATGCAAAAATATTGTATAGGTACTTTATTTCCTAAAATTTTCCCAAAATGTAACGGGTGCGACATTTGCGACATTTTATCGAGAATTGAAAGTCTTCCGTGTTTATTCTTAAAGTTAGCTTCTTAGCATTACAATATACAAATATTTTAAGTTTATAAATTACGTCGCAATTAAACTATTTGACTTCTAATATAGTTTTTGTTTTGTTAAATAATACATCCGATGATTATTTTTGATAGTTCCATTCTTAACTAAAAGGAAAAAAATATATATAAAATAAAAATTCAGGGTTACATGGGTCGAGTCCTAACATTCAAAAAGCTTAAAATTCACGTTGATTTAATTGATATTTAAATATTAAATAATAACATATAATTTGTTTAAATTAAATTTGTTTAGTACAGTCCTGTGGATGTCTTTTCCTTAGAATCCACAATACGTATTCTAGCACTAATAATAATTATTATATCTGGCATATTGTAATTTCGGTAGCGGCCTCGCCGTTATCGCTCAATGTTTAGCATCTATTGTTTCACTAATTACAAAATGGATACCCGCCATAAAAGATCCATCCAGCTTTAAACAACGGATTTTTCCCATTATTAATGGAAATCCCTTTAAATTTGTCTAGCGATATTCAGTTAAATGCAATTATGTACGTTCGTCATTTCGCCTTTTTTGAATTATTTTTCTGATGGTTTGTCTTTAATTAAAATACAAATTAATGAATCACACGGAAGAAACATAATATTTTTTATCTCCACGCGGTCTATAATTTAAACTTTATTGTTCTTAACATTCGATAAAAAATACCTTGTTATGGCCTAGGCCGATACAAATTTTTATGAGGCAAGTAATTAGTTCGATTTTTTCTCGCCAGGGGTATTTTTTTGACAAATTAATCCTTTTCAAAGAAATTAACGTACTAAACTGGTTTAATTTATTTATAATAAGCACTAATTTGTTTGTTTTACTGTTAATGTTTAATATTTTTCATTAAATTATTGTAAAATTAAATATGAATAATAAAACAAAAAGTGAGGTTAGGCAACTAAGAAAACGCACGATTCTTTTTCTACAATTTAAATTATCTTTAAGTTTTAATTTGCTTTAAGTTTTCAGTGAAATTAAATGTTAAACACAGCTTAAACATTCCAAACTACCTATTTTTTAAATACAAATCCAAACAAATTGAAATTAGATACCTACCTATTTATTAAACAATTAATTGAATTCAATGTAATAGCAAAAATCCATTTCTACTTAAATCATGTTGCTAGGTATTGTCAAACTATTACTGCTTCTAAAAGCAATAATAATAATTGAACATTTAATGTAATCTTTAGCTAATAAATGAATGAGATTCTAAAAAAGTGAGGTTAGGCCGCTTTGATGGTGAATTAAATTGACAAAGTGCTTTGAAGATAAAATGTTGTATGCCATTCGGCCAAGAAGTGCCTTTTTGTGCTTCGCTCAATTATAGGCCTCCGCTACGCGTCGGCCTTCAAACCTTGAGCTTAGCACAAAAAGTCTTACTTCTTAACCTAATGACATAAATAACTATTATGTTAGGGAGATTCGTTAGGATATTTTATTGAAGTAAAACCTAGTTTTAAAACTCAGTTTTTCAATTTGATCACATTTTAATCCTTTTAATTATCATAG